CCCACTCTCCACTCTGGTATTTGCCAAGCATCTCACTTCTGCATCCCCAGCTTTTCCTCCAGATTGTTTTGCACCCTGCCTGGGTTCTGAATTCCTCGCAACCTAAGTTACTGTCCTGATGCCTGATTGAGACCTTGGGCATGGGAGGTCAGTGGCCACCCAGTGAGGGCTACAGAGCCCAAGCCTTGGGGCAAGCCTCATAGTCATCTCCTTACTGTCCCCCCACCCCCTCCTGGCCTTTGGCTAGGGAGTAGCCTGGCCAGCTCACACCTCTTCCTCTTCCCTTTCATGGTCCCTACTTCTCCTTTCTAGGAGGCCTGGGCCAACTTGGGGGGTGTTCTTTGGGGGCAAATTGGGGGAGGTCAGGTTCAGGCCGGACTGGCTGGTCAGTCCTGTGACTTGTGGGCTTAGAGAATTCCCCCTTCTCTCCCAGCCAAGCTTTCTCACAAGGCCCTCATTGTCCAGGAAAATCATGCCATTGTTTACTGCCCAAGCCCCCCCCCCAAGCCCAGGGACTCCCCCCACCCCAATCCTACAGACAGCAACTCGGGCCTAGGACTGGGTCTGTGAAGTTGGATGCCAGACTCAGAGGCTGAGGGCACCTTGCCTGCCCTTCACCACCACCCAGACTCTGAGAGGGCAGTAGGGGAACTAGGGCCAGGACCTGGGGGGGGCAACCCCTGGCTCCTTCCTCTCTCCTGAAACCCCTCCACCCCCAGCTCTTTCCTCCCCTGCAGGCAGCTGGGCCAGGGAGGGAGCAGGGGCTGGAGCTGGGGCAGGAAGCCAGCCCAGGGGCAGCAGGAAACACAGGAAGCGGTGTGGAGGGTGGGGAGCAGGGGCCTGGACTATTGTTCCATTTTTTTCTGGAAAGAGAACGGAGGAAAAACAGAAGACAGGAGCCCCCACCCCCTGGGCCTTCGGGGAATCCCCCTCAGGCTGGTGCAGGGAGTGGGGTCCCTGGGTGGCTAGGGCCCACTCTGAGGATTGGGGGTCCTCAGATCTGGCAAGGTTGTGAACATCACTAGTTTGGCTACTTTCCTCTAGCCCCTGCTTTACAATAAGCCAAGACCAAGAGGCTCAACATGTCCGCTGATCCCCTCTAAGGATCTCCATGCTTTCTCTGCAGCCATCCCATTGAGCACGGTCCCACTGCTTTGCCTACTGTTCCCCAGCTGGTACTCTTGGCTGACCCAGACCCAGGTCCTGGTGTCCCCACATTGCTCGATTCTGCCTCTGAGCCTGCACTGTGGTCAGGCCCTACCCAGACACCCAAGCAAGTACCTCACTAAATGCTGCCTGTTTTGGACTGGCTTGAAACCTGCCCACTTCAGGAAGCCGTCCAAACCTGTCACTAACTTGCCTGTGGCCTATGATAACTCCTATGGACCAGAGTCTGAGATAGTGAGAGATGGAGTCTCCCTTCACTAGACACTCCCAGTCCTACTTCCTGTTACCCCTTGCCCATCCTGCCAGAAAACATCTACATCCGTGGCTGAGGACCCACTGCCTGTTGGGCATCCCGTGTCAGGGCTTTTGAAGGCCATAAAGCTGCTCTCTTTTTAGGGAGGCTGAAATCGAGGCTCTAGGTTAAGTTATCCGCTGGTGACCATGCAGTTAGGGAACAGTGGGAAGGACCAGCCTTGATCTCCAAGCAGGGAGGAGGTCTTCCCTTTTGAGATCTGTCCTGAAGGAGCTGTCTGAGGGGAGGGGAGAGCAACAGCAGCAGCAGCAGCATGTTTATGAATTTCAGGGAAGGGGAAGGTTGGGAGTAGCAGCCTCCAGGGGACTTCCCTGAGGTGGAGACCATGGCTAGGCAGGATGCTGATGGCCCATCTGACAGAGCTCAGTTTTGAGTTTTGTTTTTTGCTTGTTGCAGTTTGCAGTTGCGGGCTAGGACCACGGACTGAGGCAGAACTCTGCCAGGTGCCTGGGATTCCTGTTTAGGGGTCACTGACGGTCTATGGGTATCCCTGGATAACTAATACTGCTTTCAGGAAGGAGCTGTTGACTCCAACATCTCCCCAACTAGGCTTAGCTAAGAGTTAGGAGAAGATGTGTACACCCAGGCCTTGGCTGGGCAGTGCCCCTGGACTCCCCATTCCCCTGCTTCATGCCCCTTGAAACTCACTGTTGTTGGACTTCAGGTCTCGATGGATCACAGGCACCAGAGCCTCGCAGTGCAAGTAGTGCATCCCACGGGCAATCTGCACAGCCCAGTTGACCAGCACATGGGGGGGCACACGCCGACCAGCCAGGGCACGGCTGAGAGGCCCACCAGCTGCATACTCCATCACTAGGCACAGGTTTGGCTCCTCCAGGCACACAGCTTTGAGGGCAATGATGTTGGGATGTGCCAGCATGGCAAAAAGTCGGGCCTCCTGTCGAACACTCTCAGCTGTTACACTGATGTCTTCATCAGGGTCCTGGCGAGCTGCTTTCACAGCCACCAGCTCCCCTCGCCAGCTGCCACGGTAGACCTTGCCGAAGCCACCGATGCCAATCACCTCCTCCAGTCGCAGCTCCTGGAAGCTGGCCACCTCACAGGGGGGTGGGCCTCCACCCCGAGACACATAGTTGGATGGAAAGATGCCCACCTGGCCACCCACCTGGCCCGCCCACCAGCCCTCATCTCCTGAGATGGCTGCATCCCGGGACAGCACTTCCACACGGTCGCCCTTCCTCAGGGCCAGCTCGTCCTGCCCATTGGGCTCATAGTCGAACAGGGCTGTCCAGACAGGGTTGGCATAAGCTGCTGCTGCCTTCGGGGACCCCTCCGGCCGGACTCCACCACTACCCCCGCCGCCCCCACTGCCACTGCCATTCCATGACCCCAGCGGGCTCTTGAGGAAGAGGTTCTTCAAAGGCTCCATGGCCGGGAGCCAGCTTTGGAATGTATGGGGGACTTTCTTCGGTGCCTGTGGTCTCCACCCCCGCTGGCTTCTGAGGCCCTAGTGCCGGAACTTGGGCACACGGGCCCTGGTCCTCAGCCCCAGACCCACGCCTCTCTGGGGAGCCAGGAGTGTCGCCTCCCGGCCCCCCGCATCTCGGGCTTCTGGAGGAGGGCACCGAGGGCAATGTGGTCAGGCTGGAGGGGTGGGGCCCCCTGGCCTCCGGCGCCTCACCATGGCTGAATTGGAGCAGCAGAGAGTCCCTCAGTCCCGAAGTAGTCCTGGGAACCTGGCTCCAGCGCCCGCCTACTGTAAGGTGGGGCCTGCCAGGGTCCGGCTGCGTCTTCAGGCACAAGAGGTGAAGAGAAAAGTTCCCAGTTGAGCTGAAGCTACCACTAGTCGGGATAGTGCCTTTGGCCCCAACAGCTCCGACCCCGATCCCTTCTTCCTCCTCCCTTTGTGCTTTGGCCCCGGGGGCGGGAGGCAGAGGTGGAGGGTGGAGTTTCACTTTTTTCCGCTCTTCTCCCTCCTGCAGGAAACTGCATCAGATGACGCGGGCGGGTTACACCGCTCCCCTCCCGGAGGCTCCCGGCGGCTGGGACCGGGAGTTCCCGGGGAGATTGGCCAAGAGAGGTAAAAGGTGGGCGAGGCAGTCTCGAGCGCCCCCCTCACACACCCACACACCATCACAACTCTCAGAAGGAAAACCTTAGGTTAGGTGCTCCGCCACTCAGGGTCGAAGTGGATTTCTGCAAAGGCAGACAGTTCTTGTGTCTGAGTTCTCATCAGCAAAATAGCCCTTGCTATCGTCCCCAAATCTGAGTCTGGTCTTGGATATGAAGTTGCAGAACTCTTTAAACTTCGTTCTTTTCATATGTTAAATAACAAGGTACCCTGCTTCGCAGTGCTACAGGAAATGGGGATAGGGAAGACTGGAACTTCAGAACTAGCTACACCTCAAGATTTTGGACCATTTAAAATCCTCTTCCTCCCACCTGAGAAACAATTCTCTTTTTCGTGTACTTTCCCCAATAGGCAGAAACTTGGAACTGTTGTTCAGCACTGCCCGGGACTGGATTCAGCAGAAGAGCCTTCAACATCTTCCTTGGTTAAACTCACTTGCATTGTGTCTGTCACTTTAAGAATAACTATGCCATCCTGTTCGACTACTCAGGCCTGTACTGGAAGATTCCCTCTCTGCTTCTTCTGAGCACTGACCCGGAAGTAGAGGGGGCTCAAGACCAGCGATGACCACGACTTAGGGTCTAGCTCTAAGAGGGGCGGCCCAAGCTGGGGGCGTGACCCGGTAACTCAAACTGGAAGTAGCCGGGAGGAGTACCTGCCTCCAGCTTTTCCCTGCCTCCTGTAACGCATTAGAGAAACTTCACGCCAATAATTGCGCAGTTACCCAATGGCGAAGCACTAGGACGTGCGCATGCGCTAAATCGCTTCCCATTTTTGGGCGCTCTTGATTTAGACAGCGCGCACGCCTAAAACACCTCTGCAGCCAGTCACTTATTTGCGCTTGCGCACTTTTGCCGTCTGGTTTTCCTTTTCCGGGTCCCAACTGGTTCTAACGGGCGCATGCGCCAATGCAGGCTGGCAGCTCGAGGCTCCTTCTTCCGGCCTCCCCTTTGCGCCGGCACCGGTAGAAGCGGGGCGAACGCAGAGCCCCAAGAGAGTGACCTGCAACCCCGGAAGTGGACTTTAGGGTTCCAAGACATTCCCGGGTTCGGAGCCAAGGGAGCTATCACCAGCACTCCGAGAGCACCCACTCCACGCCCACCTCTGGATGCTGCCGACGGGTGCCCAGCCCGTGCCCTGCGTCTGTCTGCAAGCTCGGCCCCTCACAACAGTTCTGGGCCCCCACAGGGGGCCCAGGCCCCGCCTCTGATGCAGTCCCATCTCTGTATCTCGGCTTGATCCGGCTGACTGCCTGGGCCGGCCCCGCCCCCTGCCCGTGCCCTCGTCCCACCAATTCCCTCCCCCGCTGGGGGAGGCCATGGCGTGAGCTCTCGGTCAGACCCCGGGACCCTCGGGCATCAGGCGGGGCATGGGCCGGGGGCCGCCCCCATGAGGGTCCCGGGAGGAGGGCGTGCGCAGCAGCGGCTGGGCCATGGGGTCTCAGGTGTTGCAGATCCTGCGCCAGGGGGTGTGGGCCTCGCTCACTGGAGGTTGGTTCTTCGATCCGCATCAGAGCACCTTCTCCAACTGCTTCCATCTGTATGTCTGGATCTTCCTGCTCATCTTTCCCTTCTTGCTGTACATGGTGAGAGCCTGCCGCCACCTGTGACTGCTGGGAGAGGGAGGGTAGCCTGGCAGGGATGGGCACCACACCTTGAGCCCTGGGGTGTTAAAGACTAGTTACTGTAGAGTTTGGAAGCGTGTAGAGGGAAGACCAAGTCTTTCCTACATGGGGTTATCTTGAGTACCTCATTTAATCTAGTTCTCCGGTTAAACAGAAAACTGCTCTTAACAGGGTCTTTGTACTGTTGCATGAAGGGGTGATGACGTTTTGTGAACTGGTGAATCCTAGTCATGACAGTGGTTGCAGGTCTACCCTCAAGAGAGCACCCTTCTGTAGGAAGGGGCCTAACTTAAGTGTCACCTCCAGGTCCTGCCTCCCAGCTTGATGGTGGCTGGAGTGTACTGCCTGGTGGTAGCTTTCATCTTTGCTACCATCAAGACTGTGAACTATCGCCTGCACGCCATGTTCGACCAAGGCGAGATTGTGGAGAAACGCAACTCTACCATGGGGGAGCAGGAAGAAGAGGCTGCTCAGGTGGACAGCAGTCTTCCCAGGTGGGTGGCGCATTGGCTACCCCAGTGATTGCTGTTTCTTGTTGTCTGTGTCTTGGAAGTTAGAGAGGGCTGAGGGAATACTGGCGCCAAGCATGTATTGCATGTAATGGTAGATCTGTAAAAGAGAGCCTTGAGGATGGAGGAGTGTTAAGGATGGTGAGAAACAGTAAAGAGGTTAGCTGAGAACTTCTGCTCAGATGTTTTTTCTGTTGCAGGGATCCTGGTGTGGAGATGACCGTGTTCAGGAAAGTGAGTTCCACACCTCCTGTACGCTGCAGTTCCCAGCATTCTGTGTTTGGCTTCAACCAGGTTTCGGTGAGTAGGCAAGCCTTGGACTCCTCTGGCTGCTGTCCTGGGAGCTAGCCCCTGTTCAAGACTACTTCTTGTTCTTGCTTGTTCATCTGTGCTCTCTCCTCTGTCTTATCAGGAACTGCTGCCCCGGATGGAGGATTCTGGGCCCCTCAGAGGTAGGTGGCTGCTGTTCTGGGCTGAATCATGGTGGTATGGAACAGGATGACATAAGAGGACCTCAGGGTCCTGGTGACAACTTTGGTGCTATGGTTATAGACATCAAGGAGCTGGTACGGGAGCAGGGCAGCAACAATGTGATTGTGACCTCTGCCGATCGAGAGATGCTGAAGCTCAGCTCTCAAGAGAAACTGAGTAAGTGGGCACAATAGGGGGCAGGGGTCTGGCAGGAGTACCACGTCTTGTGCTTATATCATCCAGACTTTGGCTACATTGTGTTGTTGTACTCTTGGATGGGATTGCCTTGGTGTTCCTCTCCTGGCCATACCCATGGGAAAATAGAGGTTTTGTGATCTCCTTAACCACCAGTTGCCTTTGTCACACACCCTTCTCTCAACCATCTTCCTTTCCTCTAACAGTTGGAGACCTTCCCCAGACACCCCCAGGGGTTGTCCCAGACCCCTCTCTCCCTAGTACGGACTCTTCAGATCGTTCTCCTTTGGCTGGAGATGGTGTTCCCTGGGGTGGGAGCAGTGTAGCTGACACTCCCATGAGCCCCTTACTGAAGGGGAGCCTCAGCCAGGAGCTAAGCAAGAGTTTCCTGACCCTGACCCGGCCTGACCGGGCCCTGGTGAGGACCAGCAGTAGACGGGAACAATGTCGAGGAACTGGAGGCTATCAGCCCCTGGACCGGAGGGGCTCAGGTGACCCCACACCCCAGAAAGCTGGCTCTTCAGATTCCTGCTTCAGTGGTACAGACAGGGAGACTCTGAGCAGCTTCAAGAGTGAGAAAACCAACTCTACACACCTGGATAGCCCCCCTGGAGGGCATGCCCCTGAGGGCAGCGACACAGACCCTCCTTCGGAGGCTGAGCTGCCTGCCTCCCCAGACGCTGGGGTCCCTTCAGATGATACACTTCGTTCCTTTGACACAGTCATTGGAGCAGGGACACCACCAGGCCAAGCTGAGCCTCTCCTGGTTGTGCGGCCCAAGGACTTGGCCCTGCTTCGGCCTAACAAACGGCGGATCCCCATTCGAGGACACTCTCCACCAAGTCGTGCCCCAAGACGGCCCTTGCTTGAGGGTTCAGGCTTTTTTGAAGATGAAGACACCAGCGAAGGTAGCGAGCTGAGTCCAGCATCCAGTCTCCGGTCTCAGCGCCGCTACAGTACTGACAGCTCCTCATCTACTTCTTGCTACTCCCCTGAGAGCTCCCGGGGTGCAGCAGGGGGTCCTCGGAAGCGGCGGGCCCCACATGGGACTGAAGAAGGAGCTGCTGTGCCCCCTAAGCGACCATATGGGACTCAACGGACACCCAGTACTGCCAGTGGCAAAACTCATGCCCGTGTGCTGAGCATGGATGGAGCAGGGGGTGACATCTTAAGGGCTCCCCTGGCTGGCTCCAAGGCTGAGCTGGAGGCCCAGCCAGGAGTGGAGCTGGCTGCTGGAGAGCCTGCTGTGCTGCCTACTGAAGCTTGTAGGGGACCTACTGCCAACCAGCCTGGCTGGCGGGGGGAGCTGCAGGAGGAAGGTGCTGTGGGGGGAGGTGAGTGTTGGCCCCAGGACTGAGGGTGAGGGAGGGGACTTGGGGGGGGGAGTTGAGTTAGGGTAAAGGGCAGGCTGCAGCAGACCTAGTCAGCATCAGCTTAGTCTCCATGTCAAGAGGCAGATGGATATGGATTTCGTGGTGAAGAATTGTAGATCATACCTCTTGGGTCAGCAGAGCCCAACTGTCTGGCTCCAGGTCCTGTGGTGAGCACCTGAGTATCTGTTTCCTGAGGACATCATCTGTCACACTTACCCATCTGCCCATCAGTGGGGCAGGGCAGATCATTGCCATCCTATTTCCAGATGATAAAACAGGCACAAATGGCTATATATGCCCTGGTCAGGCTCCTGAAACCAAGTGTTACTATATTAGGTCTAACCTTTAGTTCCATGTGGGAGCGCCTGTCCTCATCCCATCCAAGCCTGTCACTTATGCTTGGAGCTTCTTTCTTGGCAGCACCCGAGGACACAGGTCAGCGGGAATGCACAAGCAATGTGAGGCGGGCTCAGGCTATCCGGAGACGACACAATGCAGGCAGCAACCCTACCCCTCCAGCTTCTGTCATGGGCTCACCACCCAGGTGAGCATCTGCCCCCTGCTGCAGGCAGATGGGCTGGCTGGCTCTTCCTAGTGCTAACTTAGGGTTTATGCTGTCCAGCAGCCTGCAGGAGGCTCAGCGGGGCCGGACTGCTTCCCACTCTCGGGCGCTGACTCTGCCCTCTGCTCTGCACTTCGCCTCTTCCCTGCTGCTCACCCGAGCTGGTCCCAATGTACATGAAGCCAGCAATTTTGATGACACCTCTGAGGGTGCTGTGCACTATTTCTACGACGAGAGTGGTGAGCCCTTCCTAAGCCAGCCTAGCACATCCTCTATGCTTCCCACAACATCTGTGGCTACCCACCTACCAACAGCACCATTGGTCGATGATTTCTCCCTTGGCTCTGTGGCAAGTACTTTACCTATGCTGCCTGATGTCATCCTTGCAGCATCTCTGAGGTGTGGGTGTCATCATCCCTGCTCTGCTGATGAGGAAGCCAAGGCACACCTGAAGCCACAGGCTGAGCTAGTGGTAGAACAGAGCCATATCCAAGGCAGGCTGACCACAGGGCCCAGGCTTTTGATCTTTAGGCCCCTTCCTATCTAACACTTGGTCCCCAGGGCTGGGCTGTCATGGCAGGGGACATACCACAGGGCTCCTCATTTGTTGGCCCTGATGCCCAATTAGAGCAGTCCTTGACAGTATTGCTCTACCTCTGTCCCAGGTGTGCGGCGGTCATATACCTTTGGCCTAGCTGGAGGTGGCTACGAGAACCCTGTGGGGCAACCAGGGGAGCAGGCAGCCAATGGAGCCTGGTGAGTCTCCAGGCTGGGCTACCTGTGGGCCTGGTAGGCTGCATTTCTGGGGAGGGCCTGATCCTAGTGTTCTTTGCTGTGGTGAGGCAGCACAAGGCTGGGAGGGGAAGATGATAAGGGGGATGGGACATGCAGTCATTTGAGGCTTGCAAGTCTAGGAAGCATAGTACAGCTTCCTGGGGAGGAGGGTAGGGAAGCACAGCTTTCACGTGTAGGCCAGGGCCTGCAAAAGAGACACTTCTGCTATCTACCTTCTTCTGACTCCAGTTCTTGACTCTTGGAGATCCCACTCATGGGGCAGGCATCCCTACCTGCCTAGCCTTGGCTCCTATTTACCAAGATCCAGGGTTTGTCCATGGCCTTCACCCTCATGCTGTTGTACCCACAGGGACCGTCACTCACATTCCTCCAGCTTCCACTCGGCTGATGTGCCTGAAGCCACAGGAGGCCTGAACCTGTTGCAGCCCAGGCCGGTGGTTCTTCAGGGTATGCAGGTGCGAAGGGTGCCCCTAGAAATCCCAGAGGTAAGGAACAGCTTTGAAAGGGTTGTGTGAAGGGAAGGGGACAAGATGCATGTAAGCAGATGAATAAGGCTGACCTGGGTAGATGGCCTGCCTAGGCCCCCAGGAGGGATAGATTACCCTCAGGAAGAGCTTGGGTGTCCCATTGTGTCTCTGTCTTTAATGTGTACTCACTCTGTGAATGTGTCTGGTGTGCATCTCTGATCCTGGAGTGGGAACAGCTAGCAGGATAATGGATGTTTCACTTGTAGAAGTGACAGTTTAGTTTGTTTTATGACTGGCAATTTATAGGTGTGGTTGTCTGAGGTTACCTGTGTGGTTATTGATAGTGTCCTTTTTTACTTCTAGTACTTATTTAGTCAGTCATTCTAGTAGTAACAGAAACACTAAGAATGCATATATAAAGCATGATCTCAGCTACTGTCCCAGCTGCCCCAGAGACTGAGACAGGAGTACTTTATGAGCCCAGGATTTGAAGGCCGTCTCTGACAACATAGTGGGATCCTTCATCTGTTAATACATATACACTCAGACCTCAAAACAAAAACACCATCCAAACATCTTCTCACAGCTTAGAATAAATCCTAAAAGGACTACCTCAAAATATCTAACACCTAAGATAACAGGTGACCCTTGAGCGCCAGTTTGTGTGTATGTGTGAGGTAATGGGGATTGAATGTTGGGCAAACATTCTGTCACCAGGCTATTTTCCCAGCCCCCTGTTTTTTTGTTTTTTTTTTTTTTTAATCTTAGAAACAGGGTCTTACTAAGTTGATTAGGATGGCCTTAATCTCAGTCTGTAGTACAAGGAGCCCTTGAATTTGGGATGCTCCTGTGTCAGCCTCTAAGTATCTAGGATTATAGTTCATTGCTGCCAGGCTTGGCTACCTTTTCTTGACTCATTTATGTTATCATTATGTAAAGTCAACAGCATCATCTTTGCTGTCCCTGTAGTTGTCATCTATGGGGCAGAACTGTACATCTTTGGGCTTTCCATTGCATCCTGCACATGTTGTGTGTGTATGCCTCTCCTCTACCTATCTCTTTCTATACTTGTGTGTGTGTTTCTCTCTCTCTGGGTGTTTATGCATGTAAACGTGTACATGCACACACGTATAGGTGTATCACAGTGTACATGTGGAGTAGGCCAGTTTTCTCTTTCCATCATGGAGTTCAGGGATTGAACTCAGGCTATCAGGTCTGTGGGACAAGTGCTTTCACTCTCTGAGCCATCTCAGCAACCCATAAACACTTGTTGAATGAAGGATACACCCCCCCCCCCAGCATGAAGAAGCTAAGTACTTCTCTCTGGGACACACAGCTCTAGCCTGTCCTCAGAACCAGGTGTTCTGTGCTTCTGAATGGGGTTGTCACAGTGACAATGGTGGCTCTATGTTGAAGGAGATATTTGTGCTAGGTCCTGAAAGACAAAATGTAGACCTCACTAAAGATTCTGCCTGAGATTTGGTGACTCTGGCACCTGGCAGCCTGTAGCAACAATTCAGCCGTGTCCTAGGAACCTAGAGCTAGGAGCAGGCCACAGGGCCACTAGCCATTGGGACCTTGGTGTACTGAAGTATGTGCTCAGTCATCTTACCAGTGTGTTGGAGGGGGGTGATGATAGATCATGGGGGTGGCGGGGCTGATGGCTGCGGCTGTGGGGACTGCAGTTTGACCTGCTGGACCAGGACTCCCTGCACGAATCCCAGGAGCAGACACTGATGGAGGAGGCACCACCCCGGGCCCAGCACAGCTATAAATACTGGTTTCTTCCTGGCCGTTGGACCTCTGTGCGCTATGAGCGTCTGGCCCTACTGGCTCTGTTGGACCGGTGAGTACCTGCAATTATTATTTATTAATCCTTAGAAAGTTCTGGGACTCTGGTCTTCCAAACTCTAAGCCTATAGAGATGGTCATGTGTCAGGTTCTGAATGGCTCACTTGCTGGAGGATGCACTGGATTTTTGTTGTTGGTTTTTGTGAAAGGATCTCATTAGTCAGGCTAGGTTTAAATTTACTATGTAGCTAAGGCTCCTTGAGCTCCAGCTCACTTTGTTTCCAGCTACCATGTGCTGAGGTTACAGTGCACTACTCTTCCTGGCTGCTTTCTGGTTTTGAGACAAGGTCTTGTTTGTAGCCTAGACTGGCCTCAAATTCACTCTGTAATCCAGGTTGGTCTAGACCTCCAGTGATCCTTCTGCCTCAGCCTAGAAAGTTCTAGAACTAGAGTCCCAAACCACCACTGCTGGCTGCAATGGGTTTCTTTAGGCTCCTGTAGAGTACAAAGGAGTTGAGGTACAGGGTTACCCTTCTCTCAAAGCCTTTCTCAGATGATTCCTTACTGCTCTCCCTTTCCAGGATCAGTTTTTTTTTTTTTTTTTTTTTTTTTTTTCCTTCTGTTCTATCTGCTTGAGTGCTATAACCTTAATAGGTTCATAAACTTTGGTTATCTCAGAACCTTTCCTGGGGATTGGAGAGAAGGCTCAGTGGTTAAGAGCACTGACTGCTCTTCCAGAAGTTCTGAGTTCAATTCCCAGCAACCACAAGGTGGCTCACAACCATCTGTAATAGGGTCTAATGCCCTCTTCTGGCATGCAGGTATAAGTAAATTTTTAAAAATTAAAAACCATTAAAAACAAAACAAAACAACTTCCCCATTTTCAGAGGGGAAGCAAAGGGCAGACAGTCATATAAAAAGTCAGATGGCCTTTATTTGTCATCAAAGAGAGTTGGGCCTATAGCCCACAGCCTGACAGGAGCCTGATAGACAGGTTCCTGTCTATCACCCTTGTTTCACCCTGTCACTGGGCACAGGTAGGGGATTGTCCATGCATACATCATGGCTCTCCTCCTGTGTGTACACTGTAACTCATATCAGCATGAGCAGGAAATGGACATGGCCAGTGTCCCAGCAAGATGGTTTTTCAGAGCAATTACAACTGTTTTCTTCCCTGTGAGGTCAGAAGTTTGGATTTTCAGAAGCCCGGAAGTGGATCTTTAGCACAGGTTCCTGTCTCCCCAGTTCTTCTTAGAAACAGGGGTGGGAAGCCAGGCCTGACCCACACGTCTTTGTAGGACGAGGGGGATAATGGAGAACGTTTTCGGCGTTGGACTGAGCAGCCTGGTTGCCTTCCTGGGATACCTGTTGCTGCTGAAGGGCTTCTTCACTGACATCTGGGTCTTCCAGTTCTGCCTGGTCATCGCCTCCTGTCAGTACTCCCTACTCAAGGTCAGGCCTGGCTCCCTGAATCCAGAATTTTCCTGGGCCATCCCTTCCCCTTGTTCCAGGTGTGAGAAGAAGTATAGATATTCTGATTAAGGTCCCTGGTAGCCAACTACCCATCTGACAAGTACAGACACTAAGACTTAGGAAAGTACAGGGTTCTGCCTTGGTCACTTACTACTGCCCAGTGGTGGATGGAACAGGGCAGGTCTCAGTGCTTTTTATTCGTCTATGGGTACCAGTTCTTGTTGCCAACATAACCCTATCTCTTCCAGAGTGTGCAGCCTGATGCAGCATCTCCCATGCATGTGAGTACTTGTGGGGTAGTGCTCTGGCCAGGAGGCCTTCTGAGGGTCTGAGACCAGATGCAATGCCATGGTGGGAGAGGGCCAGAGTTCGCTGACCACCCGCTTTGCTCCCATCTTCCCAGTTTTCCAGCTTGGATGTGGCCAAGCCTGGGGAGTGTTGAATATGCATATGCCAGTAGGGGGTGGTCAGTGGGAACGCCCAGGTTCTCACTGGCCCACTCCCTAGGGCCACAACTGGGTGATTGCATACAGCCGGCCTGTCTACTTCTGCATCTGCTGTCTCCTCATCTGGCTGTTGGATGCCCTGGGCACAGCTCAGCCCTTCCCACCAGTCTCTCTCTACGGCCTCACACTCTTCTCTGCCTCTTTCTTCTTCTGTGCCCGAGACGTGGCCACTGGTGAGGCAGGGCAGGGCAGGGCAGGGCAGTGTTGACCCTGGGAGTAAGTCTGGTGGGTAGGCCAAGGGGGGGGAGACTGGCAGGCTAACGGGCCTTCCCTCCTCCTTCTGAACAGTGTTCACCTTGTGTTTCCCGTTCGTCTTCCTCCTGGGCCTCTTGCCTCAAGTCAATACCTGCCTCATGTACCTCCTGGAGCAGATAGATATGCACGGCTTTGGAGGCACAGGTATTATGCCCACAGGTGGCCTAGGTGGCAGGGGACAGTGTGGGGCCAGGAGGGTCTATCCACAGATCGATCTACAGCTCTAGTTCTTACAGAGCTTGCATCTATATTCTGGCTGCAAGCTTTTTTTTTTTTTTTTTCCTTTTTTTCACCTCTCCTCCTCTTCTCCCTTCCCTAAGCAAGTGATTTCAGCCCAGAACGCCAGGAGGAGGGTGGGACCTGGGAGGTTTTGTGGGAATTGAGGAGTGGGACAGGGTGAGTTGAGGTGCGTATAGGTCAGAGCCGGGCTTTACCTACTTCTCCCTGCTCACAGCTGCCACCAGCCCACTCACTGCAGTCTTCAGCCTCACTCGAAGCCTGCTGGCTGCTGCCCTGCTTTACGGCTTCTGCCTTGGAGCCATTAAGGTAGTGGTGTCCTAGGGTATCTGGGCTTGCTGAACCCTATGGGGTTGTTGGGACAGGGCTGTGAATTGGGTTCAGCAGTGGCTTCTCACATGGGACACCTAATGTATCTTCCAACACTCATATTCACTACCCCTGACCAGCATGGGTTCTCTCCTTTAGACACCTTGGCCGGAGCAGCACGTCCCTGTCCTCTTCTCAGTCTTCTGTGGCCTCCTAGTGGCATTGTCCTACCATCTGAGCCGGCAGAGCAGTGACCCCACTGTGCTCTGGTGGGTGATGCATGTGCCTATCTATGTGCACACATGTGTACTCTTAAGTGCATGTGTGTATATGCATGCCTGGAACTTGGGTGGTCAGTGCATGTGCCTGGGACTGACAGACTCTGTAAGGAAGATCAGTAGCGCTTGCCTTGGTCTCTTACTCTTCTTCCTTCCAGGTCTCTAGTGCGCGGTAAGCTCTTTCCTGAGCTGGAGGGCCGGAGTCTCGAGACAGCGCGGGTGGAGCCCCCAGACCCACTGCCAGAGAAGATGCGCCAGTCAGTGGTGAGGGTGGGACCGGTGAGGGTGCAAGTGTGGGATTCGCAGGTCCGGGCCTGGGAGGGACATGTGACCTCGTGCAGCAGGCTGTCAAGCTGTTTCTCCTGGCTCTGCAGCGTGAAGTCCTGCACTCTGACCTGGTGATGTGTGTGGTTATCGCTGTGCTCACTTTTGCCATCAGTGCCAGCACTGTCTTCATTGCCCTGAAGGTTTGTGTGGTAAAAGTCATCCCCTTCTTGGTTCTGATAGGAGTCTGCTGGTCCTGAGGGCCCTCTGGAGCCCGCAGCCAGCCTGTTGGCTGAGCCTCAGACTGAATTGAGCCTCTGTCCTCTCCCTCCTGCAGTCGGTGCTGGGCTTCGTGTTGTATGCACTGGCAGGAGCTGTGGGCTTCTTCACACACTACCTGCTGCCACAGCTCCGCAAACAGCTGCCCTGGTTCTGCCTCTCACAGCCTGTGCTGAAGCCCCTGGAGTACAGCCAGTATGAAGTGAGAGGTGAGTGCTGCCTGTTCCCTTCTTCCCCATTGCTTGGGATGGGCAGAGTCAGGTTGGAGAACATCCTAATGGGAAGTGTGGTCCTCTTGCCTGAGGGTGTCAGCAGAGGGCACCTGCTGCCATACTGCTCTCTGCCTGCTCCTTTCACTGTCCTGGGGCAGTTTCTGCGATACTCTTAATCTATGCACTGCCCTTGTCCTGCCTTCCTGCAGTCTCTAATGGAAGAGGAATTTCAACACTTTCAGAAGGGGTTTCATGTCTTGAATTGCCACCTGTGGCATGCTGCTGGCAAAAAAAAAAAAAAAAAATATTGCAGAGTATATTATAAAATATTCTATGTGGCACACACCTTTAATTCCAGCACTCTGGAGCCAGAAGCAGTTGGATCTCTGTGAGTTTGAGGCCAGTCTAGTGTACATAGTGAGTTCCAGGCCAACTGGGGTTCAGACAGCCTGTCTCAGAACAAACAAAAAGCTCCTCTGACTGCTATTTACATGTCTTGATTGGTGAGGCTGGAGAGATGGCTCACCAGAGCACTGGCTGGTTTTTTAGAGGACCTGAGTAACCTGCTGTTACTCCAGTTTCAGGAGGTCTGCTGACCTCTTCTGGCCTCTAAAGGCACTGCACACACACAGTGCATAGACAGTTATGCAGGCAAACACCCATACATACATATTTTTAAAAAGAGATTCTTGATTGGAGATACAAAGATCACATTACTTATTGTTTTATTAACAGGATTGAAGTAAGTGTGTGTGTGTGTGTGTGTGTGTGTGTGTGTGTGTGTGTGTGTGTGTGTGTGTGTGTGTGCGCATACATAGCAGTCAGACAACAATCTCTAGGAGTTGGTTCTCTATTTCCCCATGTACTCCTGGGCCTTGGACTTACCAGGTTCAGGGGCTATTTTGCCACCCTTTTTTAAACAGGTTTTAAAATAATGTGTCAATTTTTGAGATTGTATGCTCTTTGACTCTCCCCTCTTCTCCTTCTAGCCCTTCCCATGTGCCCATTCTCTTGCTCTCAAATTTAATTGTTACATACACAGCCTTCTTAGTCCATATAATGTTATTTGTGTGTAGCCCGTTTTTCTCAAACAATGGGAAATTTTGCTCCCCAGCATCCCCGTATGTCTTCCTCTCATTAGCTTAAACCGAGAAAGCTTGCCCCTTAGAAGGTCCTGTCACATAGAGTCATCCTGACCCCCTCCCTCTCAGCCTATTCTACATGACCTTTATTTTTGGTCAGGTTTGTTTCTACGACAGCAGAAACAGAGCAACCCCCCCCCCCCCGGCCTGTGACATACTAAGTGGCACGTGGAGCCCTGCCCCAATGGGCTCGCTCTTCATCCTCATTCAGAGCTGTCAGCACTATTCCCTCCTCACTAGTGAAAGTCTCCAAGCACAGCTGGTTCACCTACCTTTCCTGATGCTTTCTGGCCCTGTGGTGGATAGTCTTCTGGGCTCCTGAGTATGGGTTGTGTGAAGGGCCAAGTCCTAGCTAACAACCCTGCCTTTCCATTGCAGGTGCTGCCCAGGTGATGTGGTTTGAGAAGCTCTATGCTGGCCTGCAGTGTGTTGAGAAGTACCTCATCTACCCTGCTGTGGTTCTCAACGCTCTCACAGTGGATGCCCACACAGTTGTCAGCCATCCAGACAAATTCTGCCTCTAGTGAGGACCACTCACTCCCCTCTCTGCCATTCTCTGTCTACATCCTCATTAATTCCCACTGATGAATGGGTAATACCCAAGACTGGCAGCAAGGCAAAGTAGGATCCCAGCTCTTTATGAGCTATTATTTGAAGCAAATGTGTCCCCATCACCCCATTCAGAGGTACTGAACCTAACAATCACTGGCACAGAAAAAAAGGGAGGGGGCTATTCTAGTGGACAGCAGGTGCCTAGGGTTGCATTCAGACCTACTAGTGAGAGATGTGTCTGTGCCCGCTCCTTCTAAGGCCCTGCCATGTCTGAATGCCTGCCCCACCCACAGCTGCCGGGCATTGCTGATGACTGTGGCTGGGCTGAAGCTGCTCCGCTCAGCCTTCTGTTGCCCACCCCAGCAGTACCTGACCTTGGCCTTCACTGTCCTGCTCTTCCATTTTGACTACCCTCGGCTCTCGCAGGGCTTTCTGCTCGACTACTTCCTCATGTCCCTGCTCTGCAGCAAGGTAAGCTGGGCTGACCAACATACAGAGCAGAACTACTCCGTCTGCAGGGGTGTGAGGGTAGTGTGGGGGTGCCCTGGATCTGCAGACCTACCTGCTTCAATTGTGGGCCTTTGCAGTGGCCCGAGGAGAGGACTCCTCCACCTCTCCCTGCAGAGAGCGGGTTGAGGCTCGAGGGGGAATTTGCATCACACCTTCCTAGGAATTGATGGCCAGTCTGACCTCACAACCAGCTTCTTCTGGATCAGTGATGTCAAGACCTGACCTTGTTCCCCTAGATGCTGTAAAGCCTCTGAGCTCTGCTCCTCTACCAGCTCCCACTTGAGCCCAGTTCAGAGCTGAGGGTATACATCATAGGGCCTGGGTGGGTGTACAGCTATTCGCTTGGGCTGTGGGATTCCCAACTCAGGCTTGGGGTCACATTGATCAAAGGCACGTTCTCCACATCATCCTGAAGGCCTGCCATCTGCCATGGTCTGGGACTCAGAATTGGCTCCTGAATATTTTTCTCATATGTGATTTTTGTTTGCTGGCAAGCTTCCATATTAGGTCCCCTCCCACTTTTATTTGTTTATTTAGTTGCTTGAGTTTGAATTCAGGACTTTGCTTGTGCTGGGCATGTGTTCTACTACAGAACTGTTCCATCAGCCTTCCTTTGACTTCTTTGATAGTCTTACTAAGTTGCATAGGTTCACCTGAATTCATCCTATAGCCCAGGCTGCCTTGAAACTTGTGATCCTCTTAAATGTCTGGAATTATTAGAAACCTGGCCCACCAGGCTTCCCTTAGGCCCTTCTGAGGGTAGGGTTAGGGTCATCTCTTGAAAATCTCATTAATGATTGAACAATGTGACCCGAGAAAGTCATTCACCTTCTCCTACCTTTATCTGAACTGGACCTTCCCCATCTGTGAACCAGGGATAGCAATAGGAAGCTTCGACTGCCATCATGGGAATTAACTAGCTAATGTTCCCTAGAGGAAGTTGGAAGTTCCCATGGCTTCAAGTGTTACAAACCCAACTTTGGAAAGAAAGGTCTAGGAGTGGTCGTGAAGTCCACCCTGTCTGGAGGCTTGGCAGATCTCACCACCATGTGTGACTATGTGTGTGTTTTATCACTTCTGTCCTGATGACCTGCAGCTGTGGGACCTGCTGTACAAGCTGCGTTTTGTGCTGACCTACATTGCGCCGTGGCAGATCACCTGGGGCTCAGCCTTCCATGCCTTTGCCCAGCCCTTCGCTGTACCACGTATCCAGCTTCTAGCTATCTCTTTGTGGGTGGGATGTGTGTGGAGAGTAGCAGCCTTGGGTTGCAGAGGGAGGAAAGGGAGGCAAAAGGTCCCATGTGCCTGTCACCTCCTTGACTTGTGCCCAGACTCAGCCATGCTGTTCCTCCAGGCCCTGCTCTCAGGGCTCTTCTCTACACCACTCAACCCCCTGCTGGGCAGTGCTGTCTTCATCATGTCCTACGCAAGGCCCCTCAAGTTCTGGGAGAGGGACTACAAGTAAGTTTCAGGAGACAGGATTTGGTGGCCAGCAAGGAGGTGAGGCCTTGTAGTCTTAGCCAGAAAGCACTCAGAAGGTGGCTGTGATACCACAGCAAGGGTATGAGTGTGTGGCCTCAGTGGGGACATGAGGTAGTGAGTCTGGTAAAGGCCAAACATGTACGAGGCCGAAGCATCAGTGGAGGCTGTCTGGCCTTAGGACCCACTCACCTCCAGGTCTGATCCTCCTTGTGGTCCTGTGTGAGTGCCTTTATGTCTGTGAGACTTAGCCTCCTTATCTTTCAGCTGCAGTGGGCTGTTACAGGTGGCATCTGTTCCTAGCTCAGGGATGTGGGTGTAGAGAGGACCAGAATATGGGACCTGGGCAGAGGAAATGCTGCCATGGACTGCCTGGCCCTGACTGATACATGTTACTCTCTGAACAGCACTAAACGTGTGGATCATTCCAACACCCGCCTAGTGACACAGCTGGACCGCAACCCGGGTAGGTAGCTGCTTAACCAGGAGCTTACAAGCAGTGTCCCCTGGAGGGTGCCCTCTACTTGATACCTTTGCCTGTTTATGTTTGTTTTGGGTCCCAGGCGCTGATGACAACAACCTCAACTCCATCTTCTATGAGCATTTGACACGCTCACTGCAGCACACCCTATGTGGGGACCTGGTGCTGGGCCGCTGGGGCAACTATGGCCCTGGTGACTGCTTTGTCCTGGCCTCTGACTACCTCAATGCGTTGGTGCACCTCATTGAGGTTGGAAATGGCCTTGTCACCTTCCAGCTTCGTGGCCTTGAGTTCAGGGGTGAGCCACACAAAGCTGAGCTGGGGGGGGGGGGGGTGTGAGGAACAGAGTGGCCTGGGTTGGGACACATTTAGTATTGTGGTGAGTTAGATTCTAGTCAAGCTCTCAGGCTTCTGGGTAATCTCAGGCAAGGTTCTTGTTCTCCCTGGGCCTGGGTTTCCTAGCCCAACCACTCACTTTCCAGTGACACCCAACCGTATGCACACACCACCTTTGACATTATAGGGAGTCCAAGGACTACCTGTAAAAGCTGAGTCCTGAGCCCTGATGCCAGCTTTTGGCCTGCTCTGCATCTTAACTTGGCCCCTGAAAAACACCATGCCAGCATCGTGGGTAGCTGATTCCTTGCTCTCAGGAGCTCATACATGTTATATGCCAGCTTGAGACAAATCCCTTAGAGAGGCTTCAAGCACAGCACCAGCACCATGACCTTGAGAAAGTCAATTTATAGATTTTGGTTTTTGCCTCACAAAGTGGGGGAACAGAACCTGTTTCTCTCTGAGAGTTGGAATTGTGAGGAGAAAGGGTCTCTCTTTGTTAATCCATTCACTTAGTAACCTTTCCTCAATGTCTTAGCTACAGTAGAAGCTGAGTGGCAGTGGGTCTAGCACTGTGTTGGGCCAGCAGGGATTATCCTAGTGGCTCTGACTGGGCATCCCTGTCCCCACAGGCACATACTGCCAGCAGCGAGAGGTGGAGGCCATCACTGAAGGAGTGGAGGAAGATGAAGGCTGCTGCTGCTGTGAGCCTGGCCACCTGCCACGAGTCCTGTCCTTCAATGCTGCTTTTGGGCAGCGCTGGCTGGCCTGGGAGGTGACAGCCAGCAAGTATGTGCTGGAAGGCTATAGTATTACTGACAACAACGCCGCCTCCATGCTGCAGGTGTTTGACCTCCGCAAGATCCTCGTCACTTACTACGTCAAGGTATGGTGTGTGGCTGCCGAGTGCTGTCTGCCATTTGGAATGCTGGGAGCCTGTTTTGATCAAGAGAAACTTGCTCTTCACAGTGCTACTACCATCAGACAACAGGCCACAGAGGCATTGGTGAACACGTGCCCAGAGTAGCAGCTCCCCAGTGCCCCTTCTAGAAGGCTTGTTTCAGACCCTGAGTGTGCAGGGTGGGTGGGCAGCACAGCCATGAATCCATCCCAGGCTGGTAGGTCCAGCTGGAGCAGTTGGCTGAGGTATGACTTCGGGACCACCAGCCCAGGGCTAGGAGTGTGGTAGCATATATGCCTAGCATGCCTGATACCCTAGATTCAACTCATAGGACCAAAACAAAATAAAACCCACCAGCCTTATCCAGCATGACAACAACAAAATGGGGCTGGATAGATGCTTTCCATGCAAATATGAGCACCTGAATTCAAATCTTGTGAAAGCTGTACTTATTGGCATGACCTATTAATCCCAGAGCTGAGGAGGCAGATATAGAAGGATCCCTGGGGCTTGCTGGCCAATTACTTTAGCCAAATTGGTAAGCTCCAAGTTCAGTGAGATGCCTTGACTCACAAATAAGGTAGAGAGCAATTGAGGAAGGTAATTGATGTTAATCTCTGGTCTCCACATGCACATGTAGACACTAATGGTTTGCAGAAGGGAAATGATTGATTGGGGCTTTGGCCTTGGAATGTTACAGAGCCAGGTTCTAGACTCTGGCTTGGCATCTCAGTCTCTAGGTTTTCTGCCTGGCCTGGAGCTCCAAGTCAGGCCAGAGGGTCTTGAGACCTGTGGAAAGTGTTGAGACAGTGAGGTACAGGAGCTCTGAGCAGGGAATTGTAGGGATTTCAGGCAACCTACAATATTGCCTCCTTTGGCCTAGCTCAGTTTAGCCGTTGAGAAGCAGGGGCTTGTAGATTTGTGGGATAAGAGGAGCAATAAGGTTTTGTGACACTCAGAAGAGGGGCACTATTGAAGTGTCTTAGTTACTGTTCTGTTGCTGTGAAGAGACAGCATGACCAAGGCAACTGTTAAAAGCATTTCACCAGCGGCCTGCTTAGAGCTTCAGTGGGGGTAGGGGGGATGTCCCACATCATCATTGCAGGGAGCGAGGTAGTAGGCAGGCTTGCAGTAGCTGACAGTGGCTTAGCCTTTTGAAACCTCAAAGTCTACCCCCTGCAAGGCTACACCTCCTAATCCTTCCTAGACAGTCCACCAACTGAGAGCCACACATTGAAATATATGAGCCTCTGCAAGCCATTCTCATTCCAGCCACCACAGAGTGTGATCGGGTTGGGGTCACAGTCCAGACCCTACATGCTCTTAAGACCTGCCCTGAAACTGTGGTGACCTGCTGGAGCTTCCTCACTGAGGTTCTCTTTAAGACAGACTCACACAGCCCATCTGTCCCTGTGTACCAGGCCCTGTGGACATCTTTCAATGTCATGTGTTGGAAGAACCAAGAAACCATACTTACTGCTGTTCTGCCCTGCCAGCCACTTCTACAGAAGAGTTTGTAAGGCTATGCCCACTCTCCACATTTACTAAGAAGCAGACCAGAAGTAGCCCAGAGGTTTATTTCTAACCACAGATCACTCAGTTGTCAAGGTCCCGTCCACCTGCTGGCCCATCTGAAGAGGAGTGCTTTTGTCAGGTCACATCAGTCACATCACATGAGTCACATCAGACCTTTATGTACCCTAGACTGCTGTGCACCAGGTACTACTGCTCAGGCGTAGGCTGGCAGAGTGGAATGTGCTCAGCCTTGTCAGCGTTACTATCCCTTGGAGATGCCAGTTGGCCTTAACCTGCGTACCTGGGAAGCTGGGCAGAAGCAGTTTGGAGATGTGATAAAGGCATGTGAGAGTAAGACTTATTACAAGAACAAGGCAGGGCTCAGGTAGCAGCTTCACCAGGAGCCCAGGCCATGCAGTGCTTGGACCTTCTAGATAGGCCAGACCAGACTCTGCCCTTCCTGTGCAGCTTTGGCCATGCTAAAATACTTCTGCTCACATCTTGCTCTTACCACGGGCATCAATCACTTAATGTGGGTAAAAAATAAAATACAGTCTCTGGGCACAACAGTGCCACCAGCTCCCAGCTACCTGCAGCCACGCCTCATACTCAAGGTCTTAGTTTTTGCATGTTATGTTGCTCAGCTTTCAAACCTCATATCTGCAGTGAGCCAAGTGCAGGAAGGCACCATGGTCCTGAGGCCCATGCAGTCAGTGAAATGTACCCAAGCAGCATATTAGGTACAACCAACTACAGAGAATATTCTAGACAGAAGCTCTTACTAGACACAGAAGTCATGTCATAGAACACAATGACAGTGTTAAAAATTACCTGTATGCCAGGCTAGCTCCTCCCTGACCCAGAAGCAATGCTTTCAGGTTTTTCTCAGGGGCTGTGGTGGTACCTCAACTTTAACAATGCTCTATAGGCAGGAATATCCATCTGGAGACCAAAGCTCACTCATTCAACTCTTGTTCCTTCCTTTTAGTAAGATAAAAGTCAGCAGTCCTCACCAGACTTCTTTCTCATTGACTTGTGCCAAGACCACATCTCTGTAGGGAACTGATGGACACACGCCACTCCATCCATGTGCTACTGTGTAGTCGCTGGCTCCGCATGCTCCACCTGGGGAGCTGTTTGAGCGTCAGTTCTTCCTAGCTTGTGCCCTGGCCATTTTGCCCAGGCTCAGACTCCTAATGTCTCCCCGTAGTTACCCTGCTGGGTTCCCTACTGACTGAGCACCCTGTCCATGGCCAGCTATACCACCCTCCTCAGCCTGGGCTTTAGTGAGCCTTGGGAGAGGTTCCCCACCATTTACCCAGGCAGAGGGCCAGCCCCATCAGCTTCAGCTCAGGGTGGGCCATGGCATCCCTGTAACCTTGCTGTTTACTAGCTGTCACAGCATTACCAGCTCCCCAAAGCTGCTCTCCACTTGCCCAGCCAACAAGATGTCTTAAGAATAGCAAACGCTCTGGGCAGTGGTGGTGCACACCTGAAGTCCCAGCACTTGGGAGGCAGAGGCAGGAGGATTTCTGTGAGTTTGAGACCAGCCTGGTCTATAAGAACTAGTTCCAGGACTGGTTCCAAAGCAGCACAAGGAAACTCTGTCTCAACCCCCCCCCCCAAAAAAAAAAAAAAAAAAAGATAGCTAACACTTTGAACATTGATACAAAGTGTGTGCCTCTGGCTTTTTCAGAGAATATCTTAAGTCTGTCCTAGTCATGTGCCTAAAGGGATCCATGACCTAGGTCATGTAGGCTCCCTGGGCTGTAGGCAGCACACTGTCACGGCCTCTGAGATCTGTATGTTGCACAGTGTTCACATTCCAGCTCAGTTTTCCCTATTACATACCACTGGGCAAAACTGCCATCTATGTGAGCCTCCATTCCCCTTATAGATGGGCTGGGTTCTAGGGATGGCAAGAAGAGAGCAGATCTGCTGCCAAGTGCAGGACCACTCTCACCTCAGGAGAGGAGTCACTTGCCTACTTAGCTTCAGAGAGCTGGGCTGAGCTGCAGAAGCTGCATCATGAGAAGCATTGCAGCTCAGGCTGGAGTGCCTTCTCCCCATTGCAGGGCTTTTGGGGTAGAGTTGCACTCCTGATACCTGCCCCTCCTCTCCCAGAGCATCATCTACTATGTGAGCCGTTCTCCAAAGCTGGAGACCTGGTTGAACCATGAGGGCATCTCAGCTGCCCTACGGCCTGTGCGAGCCCTTGGCTATGCTGATTCAGACCCTACCTTCTCACTGAGTGTTGATGAAGACTATGACCTTCGCCTGTCTGGCCTCTCGCTGCCATCCTTTTGCGCTGTTCACCTTGAATGGATCCAGTACTGTGCCTCTCGGCGCAGCCAGGTCAGGCTACCATTCCCTTAGATATGCCCATCCCACAGACTCTTAAGAACCTGGACTTCCTGATCACTCCCTTCATACCTGGTGACACTCACAGACCGGTCTCCAGCCCCAACCCCAAGTTCTCAGTCCCACTCCGAGCTGTGCTCAGACTGGGGTCTTTGTGCCATAGCCCGTGGACCAGGATTGGAATTCACCATTGGTCACACTATGCTTTGGCCTGTGTGTGTTGGGTCGTCGGGCACTGGGGACAGCCTCACACAGCATGTCTGCCAGGTGAGTGGGCCTGCTGCTCTACCTTCTGCCCTTCCCTGAAGAGCTCCAGTCTTGTTGGGGCATTCTTGTCTCACATGAACAAGACTCTTACCAGGCCTGGCCTTGCCTGCTCTTCACTACTCTGTGAGGGAGAGATTGGCTTCCTTGGCAAGATGGGGAACAGCCCCTTCTGGCTTTCCCCATTGCTGATGTCTTCTTCCCACCCAGCCTGGAGCCCTTCCTCTATGGCCTGCATGCCCTGTTCAAGGGGGACTTCCGCATCACCTCCCCGCGTGATGAGTGGGTCTTTGCTGATATGGACCTGCTTCACCGAGTGGTAGCACCTGGGGTTCGCATGGCCCTCAAGCTTCACCAGGTAGGGAGGAGTGTGCCAGGCAAGGTGGTCAAGTGGGAGATGAAGCCTTTTCCTAGGCCAGCAGTTCCTGACTCCTGTCCTGTCCTCCCTGCCAGGACCATTTCACATCTCCTGACGAGTATGAGGAGCCAGCAGCCCTATATGACGCCATTGCAGCCAATGAGGAGCGGCTGGTCATTTCACATGAGGGCGACCCTGCCTGGCGCAGTGCCATCCTCAGCAACACGCCGTCCCTGTTGGCACTGCGCCATGTCATGGATGATGCTTCTGACGAGTACAAGATCATCATGCTCAACCGGCGCCACCTCAGCTTCCGAGTCATCAAGGTGGGACAGACGTTCTCACCCTGCCTTACAGCCCAGGCCCTCCTTACTGTCACTGTCCTGACCTTTGGTGTGGCCCTCTACAGGTAAACCGAGAGTGTGTGCGTGGGCTGTGGGCTGGGCAGCAGCAGGAGCTGGTGTTCCTGCGCAACCGCAACCCTGAGCGTGGCAGCATCCAGAATGCCAAGCAGGCACTCCGCAACATGATCAATTCCTCCTGTGACCAGCCACTGGGCTACCCCATCTACGTGTCACCTCTTACAACATCTCTGGCTGGCAGCCACCCCCAGCTGCGGGCGCTGTGGGGTGGTCCTGTCAGCTTGGGTGCCATTGCCCGATGGCTCCTGCGCAGCTGGGAGAGGTGAGCCCTGGCTGTCACCCCAGCCTGCAGGCTTACTGAGGGCCTGATGCTCTGGGATTCCAGTGTAGGGGGGGCACAGAGAGGAATCAGGCAACTCCTTCCAGGGCCTTAGAAATGAAGTCTGGAGTCAGTGAGCTTTGACCTGAGAGATGACCCTTTACCCACAGAGGCCCCCTTTGCCCTGAAGATATCTTTAAGGGTTAAGCAAAAACTTGAAAAATGAGGCACCAAAATATCTTACAAAATGAGAATCCTGCATGGTGGTGTTGGTGGTGCACACCTTTAATCCCAGCACTCAGGAGGCAGAGGCAGGGGCATCTCTGTGAGTTCGAGGCCAGCCTGCTCTACAGAGTGAGTCCCAGGACAGACAGAGAGAGCTACACAGAGAAACCCTGTCTTGAAAAACAAAACAACAGAAAAAAAAAAAAGATGAGAACCCTGAAACTCAGATGTTAGATGACTTTTCCCAGGGCTCAGAAGACCTCTGGCCTCAGCCCTTGTCTCCCACTCACACTTCTCCCACTTTCCACCCAGACTTCACAAGGGCTGTGGCGCTGGCTGCAATAGCGGTGGGAATGTAGATGACTCGGACTGTGGTGGGGCTGGCGGCCTGACCTCCCTGAGCAATAATCCCCCCTTGGCACACCCCACACCTGAAAACACAGCAGGTGAGCAAGCAAAGCTGGGCTGAACCTGTGGGTGAGGCTGTAACCCAGCTGATGCCTTTGTCTTATCTGTCTCCAGCAGGCAGCAGTGAGCAGCCCCTCCCACCAGGCCCTAGCTGGGGGCCTCGGCCTTCCCTCAGTGGCTCTGGTGATGGGCGGCCCCCTCCTCTGCTGCAGTGGCCTCCCCCTCGGCTCCCTGGGCCACCCCCTGCTTCACCTGCTCCCGCTGAGGGTCCCCGGCCCTCAAGACCTCCTGGCTCTGGTCTCCTCGGTTCTGAGGGGCCCAGTGGGAAGTGGAGTCTGGGGGGTCGGAAGGGACTGGGAGGATCTGATGGGGAGCCAGCCTCAGGGAGCCCCAAAGGCGGTACTCCCAAATCTCAGGTAAGGGGTCTGTGGGAGGATGAGATCCCAGGAGGCTCAGGTCTGGTCTGCTTGTCTGCTCATGTCTTCCTTTCTGCAGGCCCCTCTAGACCTCAGCCTCAGTCCTGATGTCAGCTCTGAGGCCTCACCTGCCAGGACAACCCAGGACATTCCTTGCTTGGACAGCTGTGCCCCTGAAAGTGGCACACCCACCGGCACCCCAGGTGACTGGCCTGTTCCTGTTGAGGAACGAGAGAGCCCAGCGGCCCAGCCCTTGCTGGAGCATCAGTATTGAGCAGCCTGGCCTCTGCTGGATCTCATCCCAGGACTCTAGTAACTTGGACTTTGCTGGACCACAGAATGGACTGGCTTTGGCGTTTGCACCCTGGTCTCTTGCTACTTGAAGCAGTGTCAGAACTGAGTAACCAGACTCTCCCTGATCCACGGCCTGGATGCCCTAAATTGAGGCAGCAGCCTCCTAGCCAGACTCTTAAGAGCCAAACCCATGGGCTGGTCCCCCTTTGAGCCCATGACCAAGACTGACTTTGCCCCTGGGCCTGCACTGCCTACAAGGCTGGTCTCTTTAGCCTGGACCTGGGGCCTGACGTGTGGCAAGGGTGGTTTCGTTCGTTGTTTTTTGTCATTTCTTTTTTTTTTTTTTTCCCTCTGTGCTTCAGAGACACCAAATTAATAACACTATTTTTGATTTTGGTTGGCAGTTTCTTTTATGTGGGACTAGGTGAGGTTGCTATAGGTGGTTAGGGTAAGGAGAATGAACACAGAAGAGGGTGAAGGATGTGGGGTTAAACCAAAGTGGGGGTCAGGTAGAGTGGCTTGCCTTCCTCGCTGGCCTGTCTGCTTTTCAGCCCCTCTGCATGTGGACAGGTTCCCAGCCCTAGTGGCCCACACATTCATCATCCTTGATTGTGACCAGAGTCTTATTCTGAACCTCAGCTCTTCCAAGCTTAAAGAGAATAGAAAGGCATAAAAAGGGTTCTTTTAGTTTTGAAATAGGGTCTCACTTTATAGTCCCTATGTAGACAAGGCTGGCCTTGAACTCAGATCCACCTGCCTCTGCCTCCAAAATGCTGGGATTAATGGCGTCCACTGCTACACCTGGTGTACATGAGAAGTTTTAAGAACAAATGACAGCCTTTGTAGGATAGTTACTTAGGCCCAGCCCTTAAAGGGTGAAATAGTATCTGGGCCTGAACACCTGCTGTCTGCTGGCCCACAGCTGGACACTAGATGGCCTCTAGCACTCCCATGGTCCGGAAAGCGGCTACATTTGTTCCCATTCCTTGGTGAGGACGCAGCCTGGTCTCTGACTGGAGAGTTAGAAGGGCGGCTGGAGGCTGGGACAGCGCTCTGGGCTTCAGACTGTCCAGGGCCGCCTAGGGCCCAGCCGGAGGTCCCCACCCGGCAAGCTTCCCGCCTTAGACAACTCCTGAGTAGTCCCGCCCTCTCCCCCCATCCCCGCACGTACCGCCCCCATCCTGACACCGCCCCCAGGCGGAGCTGCAGCGCCGGGAACGGTGAGGGAGCAGGCTGTGGGACCCTGGTGCGGAAGGCAGCGGCAGCCAGCGGGAGCCCGAGAGGTACTGGCGGGAGCCCGAGAGGTACTGGCGGGATCAGGGAACTGGGAGGCACCGGGTTAGAGCTGGTTACCCAACAAAGTGGCTTGGATGCGGACCTGTGTAGTGTGGGGAGGGACGGGACTGCTCGCTGCTTTCACTGTCCGCACCCCCCAACCCCCAGCCCCAGTCAGCGTGCTCAGTGTTCTGTCTCCTGCTGGCAGCTCCCACTCCCTCCTCTGCATGAGCCGCTGAGTACTTTCATTGGTCATTGGCTCACAGGACTTCTCTCAGCAGGCACTGGCAACTTCTACTGCTGAGTGTGTTTGGGGTTCGCCCTCTTCTGGGGCTCCCCTTCTCCCAGTATGACCTCTTTCCCAGCCTTTTCAATACTGGGTCTGGCCTGGGAGGAAACATCTGTAACACTCCCTGGCAACAGAAATGGGGTCATGACCTCCAGATGTGCTGGGAAACATCCAGCGCCTCCTCCTGGGGCAGCCAGGCCTTCCGGATCCGTGGGGGTGGGGCGCCCCCTTTCCCCCTCAGTGACACAGGCGGCAAGGAATGTCCTGGCCTCAATGGATCTTGTGTGAAGATGTAGGATGGGGGGCAGAGCCCAAGTACACCCCTTCAGGCCGGGCCAGAACAAGAGGCAGCTCATGGGCTGGGCTGTACACCCTCACAGAGCTTGGCCCATATGGGGAAAGGCCCTCACACACCCTCCCTGGTGTTTTCTCTCACTCTGCTCCCCTCATTGTAGCCTAAGGCCAAGCCTGCACGTGCCAACAGCTTGGCCCATGGAACTGGGGCCTGCATAGTCCACTCACAGACAAAGCCGGCTTCAGCCTTTCAGTTTCTTAGCAGTCTTCAAAGAAAACAAGAAGTTCAGCATCAGAGCTTGTCCTAGGAGAAACCAAGTCAGGAAGACCCGAGGAGGTCTACTCTTACTTGGTTCTGGTGGCTTCGCATCCCCTTTGGCCTAATCCCACTTGATGACACTGTTTGTTGTATAAAAACTCACCAGCAGATACCTGCACCCGGAGTGAGAGTTCTCATGCCCCTGCCCTGGCTGCTGCCTCCATCTGAGCTCACCCAGGAGGGGCCTCTGTGTTCTCACACCTTTTGCACCTGCCTAGTGTGGCTTCACCACATATCTGCACTTAGCAGGTCCCTGGGGCCTTGGGTGTCTCAGCCTTACATCCTGTGAGACCTTGAACCTGAGACTTCATCTCCCCGCACAAACCTGCCCCACGCCTACACATACAGGGACAGGAGGCAGGTGCGGCTCTGCCAAGTCCTGGAGCAGTGGGTCTCAACCTGTGGGGGGGGGGTGTCATCATGAGGAACTGCCTTAAAGGGTCATAGCATTAGGAAGGTTTAGAACGACTGAGATTCACAGACCAGGTTCGAATTCTACTTTAAACAAGGAACTAATCCAGGCAAGTTCGTCTCCTTAACCAGGCTTCGTTTTGACCTTCTGCCCTACTGGGCTCAGACCTCCCTGTCCATATGAGGCTAGGTAGCCACACATCCACAGGGGCGCTGCCAGTCATGGGCATAGTGACCTGGAAGAGGTTAGTACTGGTCCAGTCTTTAGACCTGGGTGCCTTGGGTCCCATGACCCACCTTCCTCAGGATACAGGGGCCAAGCAGGGGACTGGGCTGGCTTGGGGCCACTTCCTGTGTTGAAGGAAGTCCTCTTGCCACTGCTTCTGTCGTGGAAGCTCCAGGAGCCCTTTTGTCCTTGAGGTATTAAGGTTAAGGGAACCAGGGCGTTGAGACCAGGCTTTGGGTGCTCAGCTCCTCAGGGACCCTGGAGGAAGTGGGAGGTACCAGGGAGGAAGGCCTCTGGGGACAGGACGTCCACCCTTTGTCAAGCGGGCAAGACCCAGACACCAGTGGCTGCATTGATTTCCGTCCCAGTGGAAACTGCCTATCCAGTATTTGGTGACTTTGACTGTGGAAGTAGGCCCAAGGTGTATACGTGGGAACTGGGAGGCTCTGGTGCCCCTTCTGCTGCCCAGGCATAGGACTCTCGGAGGCAAAACTCAGCCCCTAGCCTTGTCCAGCCCCTAAGCCTGGGAGGGGGCTGGAAACCTCAGTCCCAGGCAGACAAGGAAGTGGCCAGGAAAGCGGAAGCAACTTTGATGGTCCCGGAGGGGGCCGGAAGCCAACTGGGGTGAGGGAAGATTGGGTTGGGGGCCTGAGTTCCTGTTTTCTTCCCAGGCCCATCTGAGCAGCCCCCTCCTCCTTCAGGGCAGGAACCACCGAAACCTCAGCCTTCTGGCTGGGCACCAAAGACCTGTCCCCACCAATGCGGCCCGGCCCGCAGAGAGTCAGGCCCACAGAGCATGCCCATGTGGGCCGGTGGAGTGGGGAGCCCTCGGCGGGGCATGGCCCCTGCACCTACAGATGACCTCTTTGCCCGTAAGCTGCGCCAACCCTCCCGGCCTCCACTGACACCACATACCTTTGAACCAAGGCCAGCTCGGGGCCCACTCCTGCGCAGTGGCAGTGATGCTGGCGAAGTCCGGCCCCCTACACCAGCCAGCCCTCGTGCCCGTGCCCACAGCCACGAGGATGCCAGCCGTCCTGCTGCAACTCCTACTCGGCTCTTCACTGACCCACTAGCACTTCTGGGGTTGCCAGCTGAGGAGCCAGAACCCACCTTCCCACCAGTGCTGGAACCCCGGTGGTTTGCTCACTATGATGTTCAAAGTTTGCTCTTTGACTGGGCTCCACGGCCTCCAGGGACAGGAAGCCATACTGAGGCCAGCTCTGGGACTCAGACTTTAGCTGAAGACCAGACTGCCACCTCAGATCTACTGCTTGGGGCACCTGGCTTTGTGTGTGAGCTTGGAGGTGAGGGTGAGCTAGGGCTGGGTGGACCAGTGTCCCCACCTGTGCCCCCTGCTCTGCCTAATGCGGCTGTGTCCGTCCTGGAGGAGCCACAGACCCGAACCACAGCTTACAGCCTGGAGCACGCAGATCTGGGTGCGGGCTATTACCGCAAGTACTTCTATGGCAAAGGTAAGAGGCAGGCGAGCCTGGAAGAAGCAGGAGAGGGTCTGGGTCAGAGGTTCCCGTGGTCTGCAGTGCATACAATAGGAAGCTTATGGGCTGTCCCTTTCCCTGTAAAGTCTCTGGCTGGACAAGGAGCAGGGGCCGAATTGGGCTCTAATGGCTCAAGTCTAACCACCTCTTTAAAGCCAAGCTCTGGCATCACACCTGAAGTCAGGGGAGTGCCCCTAGCAACTAGTTCACCTTCGTAACCCTTCAGGATAGTGAGCGATTTCCTATCTCCATACTTGCTGGGTAGAAACCTTGTTCTCACCAGGGTAGCATTTAAACCTGGGAGCATTTAGGCGTTAGTTAGTTCCCAGGGTCTGGGACAAGGTGTGATGTGGGGGACTGCAAAAGGAGCTGGAGTCAGTCAGTGTCTCTCATTCAGCACTTGGTAAGAGGGAGCCCGGGGCCGTACTTCTGTGGTGGGCTTGGTGGAGAAAGGATAGGGCACTCTGTGGGTTTGACCGATCACCCACTGCCCACCCCCACCCCAGAACATCAGAACTTCTTTGGGCTGGATGAGGCGCTGGGTCCGGTGGCAGTGAGCCTTCGACGGGAGGAGAAAGAGGGCAGCGGAGGGGGCACCCTACACAGCTACCGGGTCATCGTGAGGACCACACAGGTGGGCTGGGACCACAGGCTCAGGGGGTGGGTTCCCTCCTCCACAGCCTATACAGAAACTGAATGTCTCTAAAACCCATCCTCAGCTCCGGACCCTCCGTGGCGCCATCTCGGAGGACGCACTGCCACCCGGTCCCCCAAGGGGCCTATCCCCGAGGAAGCTTCTGGAACATGTGGCTCCACGGCTGAGCCCCACCTGCCTGCGCCTGGGCTCAGCTTCTCCCAAGGTGCCCCGCACGCTGCTTACTCTAGATGAGCAAGTGGTGAGTGCCTGGGAGGAAGGAGGGCTCAGCTTACCAGGGAGACAGGTCTAAACTCAGAGTAGCTCCCAGCTCCCTAACCCTGATTTAGGCACTGACCTCAGGAGAGGTGATCTACCTCCAGCATTTCAGAGAGAAGGGTTAGAGGGCATCTGGGCTTTACTTAACCAAGGAGGGCTGGTAAAGCAGC